AGCTGCAGGTCTGGCTTGTAACTGACCATTTATTGTCCTGAATTGTCTTTAGCCCAGCTCCTCATTAGCCTAATTGGTCCAAGTTATACCAAATCTCTAAGGGTCTTCTTTTTATGTCCTTATTTTGATCAGTACAGAAAGAATATCCTAAACCCAGGAGGAATCTTACGTTTGCTATTGACTTTTTATTGTCTTTTAAGAATGGCATGTATTAATTGGGTACATTAGTGAGATCCAGTGTGACACATATCAATCATATTTAGTAATAGGAGGCAATGTGATAGTTCCAGTCACGTGCCAAAAGATCAGCTCCAAACATTCTCCTTTCATTCTTGTCCCTATCCACCCATCCCAGACTCCCACAAATCCCCCTATACCACCCCCCCCACACACACACTAGCGTCAAACTGATCACATTCCACTGATGGGAAAGAATACATGGCACTGGCTGTCCTTGGGGTGGCTTGTTTTAGGAAAGATCCAAATGTTTTTTTGTGAGAGAATTTAACATAAACATATGGTAATCTATGTTTCTGTGCACTCTTTTTCTTGTTTTTGTGAGGGTCCTTGGACTTGGACTTAGGCCTGAATGCTGTCCCTGAGGTTTTTTCTGTTCAAAACTAGTGCTCTACCACTCTATTCTGGCTTTTTGGTAGGTCATTGGAGATGAAAATTTCATGGACTTTCCTGGCCAGTGTGGCTTTGAACCCTGTTCCTAGGATTACAGTTGTGGGCCACCATTGCCTGGCATCCGTGTGCACACAATATCAGTAATTTAAAACTCCATTGCTGTGTAACAATTAATCTCACCCATCACCAAACATGTCTGACCCTTCCAATCATTTTAAAATCTTCAGATTCCTCTCTACCCTATCCTTGGACATCCCCATTTTCCTTTGAAATATAACAAGGACACCATATCCACAAACTATACACTTATCTAAGATCTAGGATTGATTTGCATTTCTAATAGTGACTTTCGTATGTGTTTGCTTTGTATATGTTTGAAGCTTGAACTCAGAACCTAAGTGCTGTCCCTTAGCATTTAAAAAAAATTATGTTTGCTCAAGGCTGTTGCTCTACCCTTTGAAACACAACTAATTAATTAAGTAATTAGTGTTAATTAATCTGAGAAAAGAATCTCATATTTTTTTCCTGCTCAGGGTTGGCTTTGACCTACTATCCTCAGATCTCAGCCTCCTGAGCAGCTAGGATCATAGGCACCAGGCATTAGTGTTAAGCTTTAAAACTCACTTTTACTTAATTTCCCAACTATCTTTTGATGGATGGCATTACAGGATTCTTCCATAGAGTTTCCTCAGGGAATTTTTAATATCCCTGTTCCTTAGGCTGTAGATGAAGGGGTTCAGCATGGGGGTAACTACCGTGTACATCACTGAAGCCACTGACCCATACCTGGGAGAATGAGAAACAGCTGAACTGAGGTATACTCCAAAGCCTGTTCCATAAAATAAGCACACAATGGACAGGTGGGACCCGCAGGTAGAAAAAGCTTTGTACTTCCCATCTGGAGATGGGAGCTTCAGAATGGAAGAAACAATTTTATAGTAAGAAAAAAGGATGCCTGAGATAGGGAGAAAGCCAAAGATGACAGCAATAATATACATGATTACATTATAGGTCAACGTGTGGGAACAGGCAAGATTGAGGACTTGAGAAGGGTCACAAAAGAAATTAGAAATCACCATATTCTGGGTGAAGGTACATCTTAAGGCAATCAAATTATGCAGTAGGGAGTCAAAAATGCTAACTAAACAAGACAGTGCTGCAAAGCAGACACAGAGCCTAGGGTTCATGATGATTGTGTAGTGCAGGGGGTGACAGATGGCCACAAACCGGTCATAGGCCATCACAGTCAGAAGCATGTCTTCCATACAACCAAAAATGAGAAAAACAGACATCTGTGTCAGGCAACCTGCATAGGAGATGGCTGTGCTGTGAGTCTGAATGTCCAACAGCATGTTGGGGACAGTGGTGGAGGTGAAGCCAATGTCAGACAAGGAGAGGATGGAGAGAAAGAAGTACATGGGGGTGTGGAGGTGGGGGTCAGAGCTGACAGCAAGGATGATAAGCAGATTTCCAAACATGGTGATCAGGTACATGGACAGGAACAGCCCGAAGAGGATGGGTTGTGGTTCAGAGTCATCTGAGAGGCCCTGGAGACGGAACTCTGTCCAGTGTGTTCCATTTGGTCCTATGCTGTTTGAACTCCTTTGGGAAACAAAATGATTTAGGCAAATTAAAAACAAAAACAAAAACAGATATCCAGCCTGCTATGTATGTTATTTCAAACAATCATAGCAAGATAGTCACACTTCATTTTCCCCATCTTCTTCAGTGGTTCTCATTTGTGACTTTGTTTTTACATCTTAGAAAGATGTAAATATTTGCTTATGTGTTATTTTAATTTTCTACTG